CAGCAGGGAAAATGGCCGCGGATCCGGTTTGTACCCCGAGGCGAGGTAAATTTTTGTGGCCGGAGCTGGTCGCAACCCGAAAAATGCGTTAACAGAGGCGTTCGTAACCCGAGGTACCACTGTATATACAGGACAGCAACAACATGTTTTAATGGCAGCTTGATCTAAAGCCCTAAGAAAGCAAAATAACTAAAATTAGTTTTAAAATGACAGATAATGCCAAGATGGTGAATTCAGCACGAGCTTGAGGCACAAACAACAGTTCCAAACAGGCAAGCTGTTTATGAAGGAACATAATAGTTAAAATGACAATTCTGGAAAATTCTTGGCCTTTTGGGCAAGTGTAGATGGATTTGGAAAACAGAAATCACCATCAATTATGCAGTATTATGAATAAACTGATCCAGGGAAAAAAACTATTCTGCAGCTGTCATGAATGGATGGTGGGAACCAGAGTACAGAAGTGATTGGGCCACTTGGAAACACAAGAAAGAAGGAGAACGGTAACTGTTCCTCTGCTCAGAAAAAGGTCTGGTTGTTTTAAATGCATAGTTTAAACATAAATTATTCACATGTACACATGGGAAAGTAATGAATACATATCTAAAAACATGAATGATTTAATTGCTTATGAAAGTCTGAGTGATTTAGTAATGGATACAGGTTGATAAGAGATATGAATGTGGGACAGACCATTTTTGGTAGCATTAAGAGTGGATCTTGGAAAAAAGCAGATGAAGAAAAGTAAAGAAATGAAAGAAGTAAAAGTGACAGTAAAAGAACTGAAGTAAGAGAAAGCAAAAGTCCTGCATGGGCTTCCTGCCCTGTGACATGATGAAAAGTTAACAGAAACAGCATTGCCACCACACATACTATTTTATAAGGTAATCTATTTCACTGGTTATCAGAAACAGCTGCAGCAGTTGTATGTGTAATTGGTATCTGTTGCGTATTGTGTAAAATACCTTGTACCATAGAGGCACTAGATTGAAAACTAGATCAATAAGTCCTTAACCAAGTATACCACTTGTCTAGATTCTATCTCTTTTTTTAAGACTATGATCATCTGGGTATTCTCTACAACACAACTGTACTTTGCTACGTTTTTCACATCTCAACCTTGCTGTTTTTTAAGCAACAACAGCTTTTGAGCAACATTTTAATTATTGTTATAACTTTAACCAATTAACGAATTTACTGTTATAAGTTTGCTAACTAAAATAAAATAAAATAAAATAAAATAAAATAAAAACTAGAGCACTGTCTTACCACTACTGATGCCAGAGTTTGCAACAACTGTCACCTCACTCCACTGATCAGCACTAGAAACTGAATAGGAACGTTGATGCATCCCATCAGGTCGACTGTTAAAGGAAACAAGACTGATGCCACTTGTCATCTGAGACACAGATGTACTAGTAGTCACATTTCCTAGAAAGAGAGAAGTAGGAAGTTAACAATGAAAATCTAGAAATACCCACCAGAACAATAAGAACAAAAAATAAATTCTACAATATATAAAGGTGATTTATCATATCATTATAATGATACAGTAAAATAAAAAGGAAGAATACAGTATATGCTTTTTAGAGTTCAACTATTTAAGTTACTTCCTTTGAACAAAATCTCAGTGCTGTTAAACCCAGCTTCCAGTTTCAAAGGGTTGGCACCAAGACATATTTGGTTGGAGGGCACATCTCCATAGAAGACTTCTGCTTAGTATGCTTACAGAAAAAACAGAGAGAATGTGATTTTTTTCTGATTTCCCCCTTCAATGCAGACACCAGCATCACTTTCCCAACTCTTCTAAGGAATTCCCAACCATCTGAGTTAAATTTCCAGGGACACAATCAACTATAGAGGGAGTGAAATGGTTAATGACCAGCTCAGTCAATGGAAAAACTGCTCTGAATACATGATCCACACAGATCAAATAAGTCCTTTTGTTCATGGGAGGCTTTTTGAAGATTATTTTAAACATTTTTTCTTCTTTCTCCCTCCATTTTAGTAATGTGTTTGATTACGATTTAAATGAAACAAAATTGAATTTAAGAGAGAAAGGCACAATAACAATTCTGGAGAATATACAAAAGCATACTTGGCTACAACTTCTAAACTTCCTGTTGTAGGCTACATATATCAGAGTTTCAGAATAATCCAATTTAGAACAAAACAACCAACTTAAGTAGTAAACATGTGATAAGAAGTATAACTTTTCTATAAAAATCTAACATGATAATGGTAGTTTGAGAACATTAAATACCTGGACAGGGGAATCCAATTATATTATTACAGAGGATAATTATTTTGGCCCTAAATAGTTCTATTAAAGATTGAGACATTTGAGATATTTTAAGGGCAGGCAGACAACACCAGCTCTTTGGAATTCAGTGAAAATCCAACATGTGAATTTATGACAGAAAAAGGTTTCTTTCACCAAAAAAAGAGCAAAGCTAAATAAACAATAGTTATGGTTATTTGCACCAGGTTTTATGGAAGTAGATGAATTTGTTTATCCATTTGTATTAAGCATTTCCTACCGTAACATACATTGTTACAAATGTTAACATGAACTACAGCATTTGGAATAGTTTCTCTTTCCCAAGATAAGCCCTGAGTTTTACCTTTATTTCTGTTATCACTATACAGAACTCAATTATACATACACACAAGTACACACTGCTATTCAATAACAATGAAACTAGCAACATTATTATAACTACACTGAAGTGACTTATTAATGACAACTGTTACTTCATCAGTTCAACAAAAAGCTTCTATAATGTACTCCAGCAGGAAGCAAAGTCCTATTCTAACCTCTAACAATTATTTAAACATGATCTGTATATACGTATATCATACTTCTCAGGTATTCTGAAACGTCGCTAAGAATATAACCAATCAGTTTGCTAAAGCATGTACTCAGACGCTTAATAGGATTTTCCATGAGTGAGATTTTATTGTGAAATCATTTTTATAAAACCTTCATGTCAAAATCTGGCATACAAGGGCTAACAGCAACTCAGCATCTGTCTCACTTTCTCTTAGAATTAACATAAAATACATGGTCAGCTACCTGGTTTATTCAGAGTTCTGAAAGAGTGCCTCTGCAAATACATCATATACGCATCATCTGGTTGCTTTAGTTGATTAGCAGGGGGCAGTTAAATTACTATGCTAATCCATGTATTCTCAGTCCTGCTTCCTTGATATGGATATGTGTATATGCTTACTGGGAAGCCTTGATTTGCTCAAGCTTTGATGTGTCAAAAGCTCTAGATCCTTTCCAAAGAATAATTTCAGCTCTAGTCACATTCCTAACATGTAGGCACTGATTTGAACATGCACTTGCCTCTACCATATGCTATTTTTCTTTTAATAATTTGCATTTCAAAATGATTATTTCACTTTTATATGTATGACTATCAGTATGTTGCCAAAAACTGGCTTAAATGAGCAAGGATGGTTCTGGTTTCCTACTGAATAAAAATGAATCTTGTAAAGTAACATCATCCCCTCAAAAAAGGAATCTGTATAATTGGGTCTTTAGTATGATTAAAACATTGATCTGATATTCTAAAGTATCTTATTACAATAATATTTCCAAAACATTCATTCAATTCAACATAATTACTCTCAAGCCTATCTGAGAGAACTTCCAATCAAAACAAAATTTTAACTTTATTAATAAAGATGAAAGAACAAAAATACATAACAGAATAGTTTAAATATCTGTAAAAATTATATAATCCATTTGAACTGGAAACTTTACCTAAACTGACAGTATTTAATTTTAAATAAAGGTTAGACTAATGCCTTTCTCTACAGCCACATTTCAAAAGTGGGATAAGGTCAGGGTTTTTTTTTAAAGGGTGAAATAGGGATGTTTAATCAATTTTGATCCTAACCTGTCCTCCCAAAATACAAAAAGATCAGGTATTTTTGGCCACAGTCACTTGGAGGGAGGACCATTGATGCAAAAAGGATGTGGGTAGGCTGCATGTGTCCTATTGGCTACATTTTTGCACCTCCGTCCCTATTGGGAGGGGGGTTTATCTTCTGTGGCAAGCATGACATGGAGGAGGAGATGTGAGGGGAATAAGTGGCCCCATCCTTTCACAAACACTGCAGTCAAGGCTGCATATTTATGCACAGCTATTTTTCTTTACATAACAGCAAAATGTATATAAAAGATAAACTCTATGTTACTGAATGTATATAAAGAGTCCAGAATAAAAGCTGGAAGCATGATTCATTTCAAATTAAGAACCTTTACACTTCTTAATTTTTGTACTCCTGGTACATATTTTAGGAGCCATATCAAAACCAAAAATGTGTGTATTTTAGGAGTTTTCAAGTGGCAATCACAATCATGCAATTTTGCATGATGTCATGAGATTTATGTTTTTCTCCCAGACAGACAGACAAAAATGGATTGGGAAAAAAGATTGAAATCTTGCAAGGTATCATGTAGGAACATGAACCCTGTGTGAGATTTTGATCTATTTAAAATATTTAAATTAGTGGGCACTGGTGTTATGGGTGTCATGGTATTCAGAGGCTCTACTTTGCTCACTCCTTTTTATGGCCATCCATTCTTAACCATGTGAGGTTTATTAATACCTACCGTATTTTTCTGTCTATACGACGATACTTTTTTCTAAAATCATTACACTAAAAATTGAAGGGCATCTTATGTAAGGAAGTAAGCCGAGGAGAGAACTGCGTGGTTGCGAAACTGCCCATACTTTGTCTCTGCA